AACTTGCAATGTTATCACTTAGTGACCCAGCCATATGCTTTGCTTACAGGGATTGATTCTGGGACCTTTACACAGAAAAGTTTGAGCATCTACCATTTTAGCTAAAGAATATTTGCTGGCTGTGTCAGTAGCAGACTCAAACTACTATACATGTTCCAGTGCCAGATAGAGCCACAGTGTGATAAAACTGCATATGTTAGTTTGTTTTTAACATATACATTTGTTTTTTTCAGTTAGCAGGTTTTTAAGTGTGGAAATTCCAAAATGATCAGTAAGTGCTTTAAAACTATCTTAAGCATATGTTGCTATATGTTCCTCTAGGCCCTCAGTGCAGGATATTTAAACTAAACATAAAATACTTAAAAAGAAAAGGAGTACTTGTGACACCTTAGAGACTAACAAATTTATTTGAGCATGAGCTGTAGCTCATGAAAGCTTATGCTCAAATAAATTTGTTAATCTCTAAGGTGCCACAAGTACTCCTTTTCTTTTTGCAGATACAGACTAACACGGCTGCTACTCTGAAACCTGTCATAAAATACTTATTGTTCCCAGATCTGAATTTGAGAACAGGCTGGTGAAGAGGAATCTTATTGTCCTTAAAGGGTCAAATCTGGTCCTGTTGCAGTCAGTAGGAGTAGGTTTTTGATGTTTTGTTATAATTTTAATGTACTTGATGATTAGGATTCTTTAATTTGTCAGTGTCCTTTTGAGGCTGCTCATAGCCCTCATTTTGCTTGGTCAAACACTAAACTCAAAGGCATCTCTCTGTCTATAAAGAGAACTTTGGAACACCACATCTGATCAATTCTGAAATTTCAGAAAATGTTTTAGGCATCAGTTGGCACAATCTTGTTTACTTTTGTGCAAATCACAATACCAGAAAAGCTTAATTCACAGGAAAATAAGGGTAATGTCATTTATCAGTCATGCTGCGTTCCTATGGCTACAGGGATAGAACTCTGGAAGCTGGGCTCCAAAAACATAAGTCCTATTACTTGGGTTAAAGGAGATTTTCCAGCTGTAGTGGTATTAAGGCTCATCTCCTTTGTGATCCAGTCACCACAAGGTGACAGTCAAACTGTTCAAGCAGGTGTGACTGTGAAGGCAATGGTAGGCATTAGATGCACAGGCCCTGAATGGGTTAATGTGGGCCTGAGAGCACAGATAGCATCCTGGGCTGCATCTGGAAGGCTGGCCAACCTTAACTGATGATGATGCCTGGCTGGGAAGGGACTAGGAGCAGAGTATAAGTAGAGGAAGCTGAGAGCAGAAAAAAGCTATAGGGGAAAACTCTTCGGTCTCTCTCTGGGATGAGAGAGTTGGTTTTGGGATTCTCTCCTGAATACAGATGTCTGGCAGGAGCCCAGGCGAGAGATGAAGCAGCCATTGGGAGTGGTGCAGGCTCCCGTGATAAGCCCTGATAAAAGGGCATGATCTGGACTTCCAGGGGTGGTCCTCTGGGAGGAGGTGTTGAGTGGGAGGAACAGAAAGGCCAGGCTTGCGGAGCATGGAAGTTGGCTTGTTTGGGATCACAAGGGAGCACCCTGCAAGAAGGGTAAACCTAGAGAAGTTCTGGGGAGAAGGCCTGGATTAGGCCATGGTAGAAGAAGCTCAGGGAGGTAATGGGTGGATCTGCACAGATGTAACTTGCCCACTTGCTACAGTGTCCCTGGGATGGAACCCAGTGTAGTGGGCGGGACTGGATTATCCCACCAGCCACCGGAGAGGGTAGTATGAAACCCCAGATTTAACAGGACAAGGACACTGGAAAGCTCTGCATCAGCAGGGTGTAAGGACCACAGGACCCAGAGTTAGGGCTAAAGACCTCATGTACAGACATTTGGAGAGGTGGTGGACTTAAATTGTGACCTGGTCAGAGGACTGAGTTATGGGAAGAGACACCACTGCCTGATAGTTGGCACAGGGTGCTAGAGAGGAGGGAGCCTGCTTTGCCGCTCCCAGCCACAAGGGGGTGTGACTGCAGTAAGTGAGCTCTGTCACAACTTAGTTTGCAGAATGCCCCCATTCTCCTTTCTGAACAGGCATGAATTGCATGTACAGTCCCATCTGAATAGTGCAGGGGACTTTATCCAGTTTCTTCCTTCAAGGTCTTGTACCTACTCTGAGAATACTTATGACACTGCACCCTTCTGGCAATGTGTAGTGTAAATACCCAGGTAGCCCTCTAGCATGGCTATAAATATCAGTGTAGATGCTAAGGCATGGCTTAGGTAAGTAGAGATGTGAGTACATACCCTACACAATCTCTACTTGTTCAAGCTGTGCAATTTTTTTTTTTAGCCGTCTATTATTCTGCTGTCTCCCCATTGCTGGAATCTTTCCCTTCTGAGAGAACTGTGTTGGAGAGGCAGCTGGGAAAGGCTAAGCCTGCCCCCCCCCCCCCCAAGCCTTCCACTGACATGTGGTTATATACTGCTGTGTGATGCATCAGGCTTTCCACTGTGGTGCAGAGACTACATCTACTACACACTGGTGGTGGTGGCTAGGGTTGCCAACTTACTATTTGCAGAGAACCAAACAGTGCTGCCCCGCCTCTTCCCAAGGCCCCACCCCAGCTCATGCCACCCCCCCCTCTATTACTAGCACATTTTCACCAGGCTAGGGTGGGGGTGGGGCCAGGGATGAGGGGCTTGGGGTGCAAGAGGGGGCTCAGGGTTGGGGTGCAGAGAGTGAGGGCTCCAGCTGGGGGTGTGGGCTCTGGGGTGGGGCCAGGGATGAGGGGTTTGGGGTGCAGGAGGGAGCTCAGGGCTGGGGCTTGGAGCACAGGAGGGTGTTCAGGGTGCAGGCTCCCTACAGCACTCCCCTCAGGTGCCTCCCCAGAAGCGGTGAAATGTCTCTGTGGCTCTTAAGAGCAGGGGCGGCCAGGGAGGCTCTGTGCACTGCCCCAGCCCCCATTGGCTCAGATCCACAGCTAATGGGCGCTACGGGGGCAGAGCCGGCACTCAGGGGCAGATCGCGGAGCTTCCCTAGCCAACCCTGCACTTAGGAGCTGCAGGGACATGTCACCACTTCCCAGAAGGTGCCTGAGGTGAGGGCCACAGGGATTTTGCACCCCAAACACCCTCCTGTGCCCCAGCCTGCCTGGGGCCAACCAGACTTTTAATGGCCCGGTCAGCATTGCTGACCAGAGCTGCCAGGGTCCCTTTTCAACCAGGCATTCCAATCAAAAAACCAGATGCCTGACAACCCTAGTGTGGTATGTGGAGTATATCACATCACCAGCTCGAATGTAAACTTCCAACTCCAGAGGGCACATGGGTGCCAGAACAAGGGGGCCCGGAGGTCATGGCCCTTCCACTTGAAAGTGGAAGGGCCTAGCCCCTTGCCCCTCCTTTCTCACCCAAAGGCCCCCATTCCCAGCCAGGCCAGAAGCTGGAGCCTGGCCCAGAGCAGCTGGGGTGGAGGAACCAGAGAGCAGTCCCAGCCTGTCTCCCTCCCCTGGGTCCCCTGCCCAGGGCATATGGAGGGTCTGTGGCTCTCCACAGCTGCCAGGGTGGCTCTTTGGCCCCCAAGGCTCTGTCTTGAGCTGGGTCTGGGTAAGAGCCACATGGGGAGCTGTGGACCCTCCACTTGCCCTGGGCAGAGGGCTTTGGGGATGGGGACATGTGCCAGGGGCTGGTTTCAGCCTCCCGCACCCTGGGCAGGTGAAGGGGCCTGGGCTCCCGGCCCAGCTATGGCTTCTGACCAGGGGCTGGGGGGGAGAGGGAGGTAGGAGTGGGGCCATGGAGGGGGTGGGGCTTCATGCCCCCCCTTTTAGGAAGACTCTGTTGCCCCTGGGTGGACATACATATGCACACTAGCTTCGAGATAGCACACTAAAAAAGAAATGCAGCCCCCCCCCATCCCCCACAATTCAAATGTGTATATATACCCTTAAAGTGAGCTGTGAAACTGCTTTATCCTTGCATTAATACATTCTGATCCTAAGAACACTGTGTGGTGTTTTTGGTATATGCTAGTATTGATTTTATGTGAAGTGAAAACCCTTCATGTCCTTATTTATTACATCTTAACTGTAGGGGTATAGTATACAGAGCAGTATAAACAAGTCATTGTATGAAATTTTAGTTTTGTACTGAGTTCACTAGTGCTTTTTTACATAGCCTGTTAAACTAGACCAGTATCTGGAAGGAGTGTGCTTACTCCCCACCCCGGTTGAGAACCCCTAGTTTATAGTGTACAGTACAAGTTGTACAAGACACTAAATGAACTGTATAAAGCGATCTTCATCTGTTGCTTTTCTGGCAATGTTTTGTCTTATAGCTTTCTATGTGCTACTTTGCTTTCTAGTACTATCCTTCCATCCTCCGCAGCGTTCCTTTAAATACAGTGTGAAAAGTGATAAACTGTGTGCCCGTTTCCAGCATTCAGACAGCAGGTCCAAGACTTCCCTTCTCCTTGCCCTCTGACCCTGAAATTGGGTATGCCATCTTGCTTTAATGGTTAATAAGGAGGAAGTGCAGCCTAGCAGGTAGGAGCACTGGGTTCAGTTCCAGGCTCAGACACAGATGTCATGTGTGACCATGACCAAGTCACTACTCTAGCCTGTGCCTCAGATCCCCCTCTGTAAAAGGAGATAATACTTCACAGTATCTGAGTGTCTGTCATTCACAGGGGAGATGGGGACTAGACTAATACATAGGGATTGATCATTTGCATGTGAGGAAGAAACAGAGCAGGAATCTGATACTTCTGGGACAAGAAAAAGTGAAATATAGACACAACAATATTGCTTAAAATATGGATGGCAGGGAAAAAGCAAAAGTTAGTTCACTGACATGTGAACTGTTCTCACATGTCATAGCTACACACTGTCGATATTTCTCTTCGCACACTCATGATGCAGTGTAATCCTCTCCTCCTCCTCCTCCTCCTCCCAAGACCAAATGTGAGATGAAGACACCCTCTTCTCCACCCCGCCCCCAAATAAATTAGAAAATTATTTGTTTGGAAAGCTGTACACTTCATTTGTCTGAGGCAAATAACACAATGACAGCAATATACTGGTTCAGCATGTTGAATCTATATGAACATTTTAAGAATTTTTAAAATATTTGTATTGCAGTAGCATGTAGGAGCTGCAGGCATGAACCAGTACCCCACTGTGCAAGGCAGTGTATAAACAAAGAAAGCCCCAAAGAGCTTACAATCTAAATATGGGTAGTGGTGTATTGACAGCCTAGGGGTGCGAGTCCCCTCTCATCCACAGAACAGAAATAACATGGAAAGCAGAAGTACCAGATTCCTTTCTCTTCCTAGCCAATGTTCTTCAACTCTGATATAGAGGACTCACTTCTAGGTGCATTCGGTCTCAGTCCTTGGCATCTGCTGAGACTGCCAGCAAGGATGCTAACTAGTCCCCAGGGTGGGAGGGTTGTGATGAAGTCAGTAGTCTGCTTGATTCCGCATTTGGGATACAAACTCTTCATGTTTTGGGGAGAGGGTCTGTGATGGAGGAAAATGAGTCTACGAAGAAGTTCAGTTGAGTGGTGCTTACTGAATGCACTTTAAGACTCTTCAGACCCTGGGAATGCAAACAAAGATGTATATTTAAACTGGGGGGAGGGGGCGGGCTTCCTCCCCCCTTGGCTCTTTGTGGCCTTCTTCCTTGACATGGGTATGACTGAATCAAGATCCCATGGTGGAGGAATAGGAAACTTTAAGCCATAGGTTCTCTGTCACATCCACACTCCAGGCCCAAATTGAAGGGCAAAATGAAGTCTCTGTCTTGCTTCCCCGACTGGCTGTGGGCAGCAGTGTTGCCACACTTCTGCTACCTCTGACTGCTTTCTTCAGAGATGAGCAAGGTGCTGCAATCAGATGACTAGCCAGGCACCAGACTTTCATGCTGGATACTTTTTAAAGCAGTTCTCCCCACTGTAGTGTCTGAGCACGTCACAATCATCAATGGATTTTTAGCCTGTGTGATAAGGAAATCTAGTCCCAGTTTACACATTGGGAATGAAGGTGCAGTGTAGATTAGGTGACTTGCCTTCCTGTGTTACTTTGGGCTGTTGAGCAAGGCCTTGAACCCAGGTTTTCAGATCCAAATCAGTGCCCTTCCCACCAGACCATCCTTTGTACCCTTACTTTTTGTCATCTTGTATACAGGTCTACACTTTCAGAGCAGACAAGTCGGAGCTTGCAGTGACACAAGAGCTACTGTTTATATATTGCTTCTGTGGCTGATGGTTTGTGTCATATTTATTGTGATTTTTTTCTGCTTTTTCTCTTGCTGTCTTGTGTGAGGCATCTAAGATGTCAACCACAAATAGATAACCACTAAATAATAGGCCAAGCCTTCACTCAAAGAAAACACCTAAATGGGGTTTTCTGAATTTGACATGTTATCTGAAAACCTGAGGACTTGCAGAATGACTGTAAGAAGTAACTAGCATTAAGAACAACCCTTCTCCCCAGACTGGAGTGCACATGTACCTTCTAGTATCTAGAGAAGAACCTGTAGAGGGTACTGCCATTGCCACTCATGGGACCAGCTGGCAGAGGGCACTATGAGCTGATCCTGCCAAACAGTGGCAAAACTTGCATTGACTTCAGTGGTAGCAAAAAACAGTCCCTGTGTGTATCTTTAGCTGATAGAGAAGGTGTTGGCTTCCTTCAGAAGTTACTATCAAGGGTACAGTGTAAACTAAAGGGCATTGCAATGATTTATGATGGACAGCACACAGGCTAGACCTAGGAGCCTGAACCAGGCAATTAATGGCACTCTGAAATAGGAGAAGGTCTTATTAAACAGCACATATTCCTGTGCTATCATAGTTTTAGAAAGGGAGGGGGTGTAATTGTGATAATGCACTTGAGTGAACTGTTAAGTATTTGCCACTGGATTCCTTCAGAATTCTAAAATCTCCCCCGTCTTTTCAATTAGGTTGGACTCCCTATAATCAGCCCTTAGGTTGATAAGCAGGCAAGGGAGTAATACCAAAGATAGAAATTTGACTCCAAGTGACTGACCTGTGAAAAAAGAATGTTGGCTTAAAGAAGTAGTGGTGAAGTTTTTCAGAGCCATATGTTGAATACTGTGAAATATACAAAGCATACATGTACAATTTGTTTGCAATTTAGGAGGCTTCAATTTTCAGCCTACTGTTTCAGTCCTAAGCGTTGTACTTTATTTACTGATCTGTGCAAAAGAAAAGTGAAATGTGATGTAGCCTGGGGCTACCAAACACTACTTCAATGTTTCTTCTTCATACCCATACCTCCTCATTAAGCTAAGGCTGCTGTGAGCACAAGTAGGAAGAACTATAGATCAGAGAAGGGAGGGCCACTCAGTTATGAAATGTATATTAGTAATTGCAGAAGAATATATCAGATATTAAATGGCTAAAATCAGGTGTAGTAAGATCTGACTCTTCCCCCTCCCCCCACCCTTGCTCTTCAGTACAGAAGCTTCCCCCTTGCGACTGCACTTCACCCATTGTTGCCCCCTTTCCTCCCCCAAGCTGTATAATTGTTATGACATGACAGCATTTGGTTCAGATTCACATATCAGTACCACCTTCCCTTCTCCCTCTATCTTGTCCTTAAAGAAGACCAGGCAATGGACCTCAGATCAGTGACACGTCCACCGCTTCTTCAAACACTTCACGTGGGAAGCCATTCAGAGGCATGATTGCTGAGCCACAGACCTGGAAAATAACTGTCATCAAGATCTTTGCATCCGTTAAAGGAATTTCAGCCCACTGACATTGCTTTGCCCCCACTTTTTTAAAACTAGGTGTTCTTCACAATACAAAACTAAAGAGTGGTAGTTCACTTTGAGGAGGCTGTTGGGTTATAGTTGATAACGACTAAGCCAATGATTTATAAATGACTTTTCCCCCCCTAGTTTAAAAATATTTCAAACACTAGCAAGGTTCTGTAATATTCCAGCTAGGCCAATTTGGACCATAATCATATGCCTGAAGTTGGAAGCAGCTGTTGGCTCAGGTGGAAGTTTTGTTTTAAAAATAGGTCACCTACTTGTCAAATCTTCCCTTCAAAAAATGTAAATGCTTTTATAACAAAGCAAACACGATGCATTCCCAAAGGGGATGTACTGTGTTTGTGTACATGGCAATACATCAGCCTTTCTCATTCTTACCTACCTATTCAAAGAGGATGGTTTTCTGTTTCATGTGTATAGTTGCATGTTCCTCATTCCTGCTTGTATTTTCACCTATTATTTCAGCAGTCATTTACCACATTGGGGTGTGTCCCCCACAAAGGAGAGAACCTGTGAGGGAGGGGGAATTTGTAAGAGAAAATAAAGCAAAAAAGAACCCTGCAGCAACATCCTCTTCACACTGTCACAGGACACTTCAAAAAGATGGGTGTAATAAAAAATTAATGGCAAGCTCAGGCGGGCTTGCTAAATAGGGAAGCAGTTGCTGGAGAAGCAGCAGGTAACACACTGCCGCTGCTTTCAGTTTTTTAGATCAGAATTAGTCTAGTTTCAGACATGTTGATTTAGTTGGGGTTGGTCCTGCTTTGAGCGGGGGTTGGACTAGATGACCTCTTGAGGTCCCTTCCAACCCTGATATTCTATGTTCTAGGGATACACAGACTGAGCAGATGCTTTTATTTACAACACAGGTCCATCCCATCCCATCTCCTTCCTACAGTTTCATGATCATAGGCACAAGCTGTCTTTTACAGGGAGCCTGTCATTATCATTCAAGAGTAACACAACAGAGTATTATCATTCATTTTTCTCCTTCTAGGTGGTTTATATGCTGCCAGAACAGCAAATCTAGCTACTTAACCTAACATGCATAGGTGTAAAACGGGTTCTCAAACTTCATTGCACCATGACTCTTTCTGACAAGAAAAATAACTACATGAGCCCAGGATGGGGGACCGAAACCTGAGCCCTCCCAAGCCTTGTCACCCCAGGCAGGAGGGGTGGGGCTAAAGCCCCAGGTCTTCAGCCCCAAATTGGGGGCCCTGTAACCTGAGTCCCATCACCCAAGACTGAAGCCCTAAGACTTCGGCCCTGGGTAGCAGGGCTCTGGCTTCAGCTCTGGGCCACAGCAAGTCTAACGCCAGCCCTGGCTACCCCATTAAAATGGATTCCTGACCCATTTTTGGGGTCTCGACTCAGTTTGAGAACTGCTGATGTAAAAATCAAATATATTTCAATTTAAAACCAAAAATTTGAAAAATCCATTTCTTCCCTACAAACATCTGAGGTCAGGATGCTGTGTTCCCTTCCAAGTGCGGATAACAATGCAGAAAACACAGCAGAGTCTTACTTGGGTCTCACCAGGTCTTCTGAGTGAAGAAAGAGCTGTCTTAACAACAGCTTGTTTTAAGACTCTGGGTTTTTTTTTCTTTTAAAAAAAAAAAAAGTACAGAATCATAAAAATCCAAGGTGACTTGTCTAAGCTATTTATACATCTCCCATCAACATTGTATCTGAATATCTCACCACATCCTTGTGAGGTACAGAGAGAGTTCCCCCATCTATAAAATGGGAATAATAGTGAGGCACAGAAGAGACTTAGGGCCAGATTCTTAAAGGCATACAAGTCTCACTCTCATTGACTTCAGTGGGAATTAGGGACATAAACACTTTTTAAATCTGGCCCTAAGTGACTTGCTCAAGGTCATTCAGGAAGTCCTATGACAGAGCAGGGAACCAAGCCCAGGTTAGTACCTTGATTACTGAGCCAGCCTTCCTTTCAATCTGTCTGGTGTAATTAGACCATCTAATGCACCCCCTGCCAGTCTGAGGTTGTTTGCTCTCAAACACTTACTAACATTTTCTCCAATCTAGTTTTCATTGCCCCAAGCAATGGGGCGTCTGCCATTTCCTTTGGAAAATTATTATTCTGCCATCAAATCTCTTCCTGATATTTACCCTGTTTTAATGTCCTTGTTTGTCATACCCCTACATATAACCATCAATACTACTTCTTCTCCCTTCTAGTGTTTGCGCCTTATAACTTTTTTTTATGGGATCATAGATGTATAGGACTTGAAGGCACTTCAAGAGGTCATCTACTCCATCGCCATATGTTGAGGCAGGGTTAACATCCCTCCCCCCTTTTTTTATCACTTAGAAACGCTGCCTATTACTATCTCTTCTAATCTTTTCTAATCAGTCTTTCTAGACATGTACTTAATTTTGCTTCTTTTCGAACTCTCTAACTTGTCAATATCTTCCCTTGCCATGAGGTTCCCAGAACTGAAGGCAATCTGCTTGGAGCAGTCGTATAGAGGGACATTTACCTATTACCCCTGAGATGTATTAACTTTTTTTTCCCCCATCTAAATTAGTTTTGTTTTTTCTGCTTGCTTCCTTTTTCTGTTTCCACCCACGTTATTTCTTGGTGTTTACATTGGGAGGAGTTGTGATGTCACCCACTAATGTAATTAACATGGCTTTTACCTCCTTTGAAACTGTAATAGTGTTTTTTATATCCATCCCTATCTATGCCCCCCTGTAAGTGTGCAGTCACTTACACTAGTGTAGAAGTGCTTATTCTAGGTTGGGAAGTGAAACAAGCTATACCAGTATAGGGCATCTTTATACTGGTAACTGCATCCCCACTAGGCTTTTACCAGTATAACTAACTTTTAAAAAAATCATAAGCCAACGTATCAGGTATTCTAATATTGTTTGGATTAAAATAAAATAAATATTTTTTCCTTCAAGTGTAACATAATGCTCCATTAAATCTGCTGAACTGAGGCAATATAAATGGATGTCCTTAATAAAAGGCCAGGTATAATGTTTTCCCACATTACTACACAGAAACCTTAAACAAAAAATAAGGTCACTCAAACAGTAATGCATTACTCACACCACTGTACAAAACCTACTATAGACAGGATCCAAATAACCTCAAAAAATTAGTCCTTCCAGAAGAATGTTCTAGGAGTGGGATAATCTGTTTCATCAGTTTATGAAAGCAAGCAACAAGGCTGAAAATGCAGTAATCACTACTAACTGAATGAAAATACTAATCTGTTTCAATATATGGTGCTACATGTCCATCAGATGGTGGTGATTCAGTTACTAGTTTCCTGGGACTGAGTTCCTTAGAAGTGGGAATGAGAAACCAATTTTTATAATGGACTGAATTTGAACCCAGGCACGAAGAGGGTTGTGTGTCATCACCAGTCCTGGGATATTCCAGCCCCCATCAAATGAGCCTTTAAAGGGGGCAAGTCTTTAGCTGAAGTTCCAGGACCTCACTCTTGAGAGAGCAATTGAAAGTCATTGTAAAAATGTTTGCTTCCACTTCAAAGCACATATTTATGTAGAGGCAATATTCTGAATTGGGGTGAGGGAAGAGCAGCTTGGAACACACATTCCAGCGTGGTGTACTCCCTGTTTTGAATTGAAAACAAACACTTTAGACAGGCTACTGGGCCTTGCTTCTTGGATGAAGCCAAAAAGGAGGCAGATTTTTAAGGTTTCCATGATAAACTTTCCAAGGTCCTGTGACATCAGACTTTTAAGGTGACTGTACTACATATTCCAGGGGTCTGCAACCTTTCAGAAGTGATGTGTCGAGTCTTTATCTATTCATTCTAATTTAAGGTTTCCCGTGCCAGTAATACATTTTAACATTTTTAGAATGTCTCTAAGTCTATAATATATAACTAAACATTGTTGTATGTAAAGTAAATGAGGCTTTTAAAATGCTTAAGAAGCTTCATTTAAAATTAAATTAAAATGCAGAGCTTCCCGGACTGGTGGCCAGGACCCGGACAGTGTGAGGGCCACTGAAAATCGGGACACGTGCCATAGGTTGCCTACCCCTGGCATATTCTATTGCTGGTTTTGAGGTCTCTATGAGTTCCTCTTTGATTTTACTGTCTTAAGCAGGGGTGCTGAGAGCCATTGAACCAAACTGTAAACTCTGTATATAATGGAAACCATTTCAAGCCAGGGGGTATGACGGCACCAATAGTCCCAGCTCCTATGGTCTAAAAGGTCTGCTCACCAACCCACAATGTTTCAGTTTTGCCACATCCATCAAAGGGGATGAAACTGAACAGATCTGTGACTTTCATGTATAAGGACAGGAACTGTGATCCTAAAGCATGTGGTACCCACAAGCAGAGACATGGCTTTAATCCTTTTATTTTATTCCAAGCCCTATAATTTAGAAAGCCATGTGTCCATTACCAGCCTAACCAAATCCTTAATGATAGTGATCCATGAGAGACAGCCTTTTGCCTCTGCCCTTCCCTCTCCTCCTTTAAATCCTGTAAGTTAATCACTAAAGAATTGTTTGATCAGGCAAGAGTATTAAATGCTAGAAAGGTCCCCTCACCAGTATTAACTAATGTATTCAAGATGCCATCAGTTAGGCTAAAGAGCATCAAGCCTGACAGGACTGTGGGAGGAGTGAACTGTCCCAGCTGAACCTTGGGAAAGAGAAGCTGAGTTCCAAAAAACTGGAAGCAGGTAAATTTACAAAATAATAAAACTTGATCCATGGGGTACACAACAATGAAAACCTATGCACAGGATAGTGATGTAGTAGGGAAAATCTAACCTTTGAAATAGAATATGGAAAACAGCACTCAGGGTTTGAACAACAACTATAGTGAAATCCTCACTATTGACTGACTGGGGAATAGCCACCACTTGCTTCTGATTTCCCAAGTCTGTCTGCCAGTGTGGGGAAAGGAAAGTCCCCTAAAGGAGGGTGATCATTGTGGATCTCTGAGTCCAACATGCTGCTGACACAAAGCTTTGTTCATCCAGGAAAGGCTACAGTTTCTTAAAAGGAAGAGTGCTTTCCTCTGCCCTGTTCTCTTAAACAGCTCAATCACTTTACTTTGATATCCATTTTCCCTGTGTTTTTCTCTAATTTAGACTGAAAGTACTTCACAGCAGGGGTGTACTTTCATGACTGAAAAGCGTTATGTTCACTAGTTGGTGCACTGTAAGTAAAAATAGTGGTGATACAAGCTGCAATTAAATATTAGACTTTCGTAGTGCAACACAGGGTTTTTTGGGGTGGGGGAGGGAGAGAGGTGTAGCAACTGAAGATACGTGTTTACTATGATTATACGTTCATGGGGGAGAGAGACCATGAGTGTTCAATTTAAAACTTCTTTCCTCCTCCTCCTCTCATTCCTTAGGCTCCTCATACTTTTCTTTTTCTTTATGCTCTTTCTTTCTTTCTCGCCTTGGAAAGGCTTCTCTGCACATTCTTGGATTTTAACCATCTATCTTCTGAGTTAGATTGCTCAAATTAGATCATGGTCTGG